GGCGCCTGCCACAACGCCCGGCTATTTTTTGGTTACAGCCGTCATTGTCATTGTTGTTTGGTGGGTCCGGGCTGGATTTGAACCCGCCACCTTGGGTGTACGTGGCTGGCACCTTAGCCACTTGAGCCACAGGCACCGAGCCGAAAAACAAAATCTTATAAAAAGTTTAAAGAAACAAGGAGGAGGTGATACATTATGATGTCTTCACAGGTTTGCTATACTCTAATTTCAGATGCATGCCCACTCCAGGCCCCAGAAAGGACAGGGAGGTTCTCAGCCATGAGCTACATCTCCCACACGTGCCATGACTTCAAGGTCATTCCATTTCCAGGACAAGCACGAGAACAAAAAAGACTACACAGTCTTAATGAGAACCTCGAGGGAGCTTGTGCTTGAAAATAATGACCTCAAATCTCATCAGAACATGGAACTACAGATTTTTCTGTGCCAAGTCCACTGCTGATGACTTAGAGTTTAGCAATTTTTTAAACGAGAATCTGACAGGTAGGTAAGTTAAAGAAAACAAAACCTAAAGAATAATGAACTTTAAAAACAAGTACCAGAGACCATGTCATGTGTGCAGTGGAGAGGATGACAGGGGCTTGTAGTTTTTAAATAAGCTGGTAATTTTAAGAATTAAAATGTCTTAGGTAGAAGGCACAGGATGAGGCCAGACACTGTGGTTCATGCCTGTAATCCTAGCACTTTGGAATGCCAAGGTGGGAGGATTGCTTGAGCTCAGGAGTTTGAGACTAGCCTGAGCAAGAGTGAGACCCTGTCTCTACTAAAAATACAAAAACTAGCCAGATGTTGCGGTGGGTACCTGTAGTTCTAGCTACTTGGGAGGCTGGGCAGGAAGATTGCTTAAGCCCAGGAATTTGGGGCTATTGTAAGCTATGACTCCATGGCACTCTACCCAGGGTGACAGAGAGAGAGAGAGAAGAAGAGAGAAAGAAAGAGAGAAAGAGAGAGAGAGAAAGGAAAGAAAGAAAAAGCAAGCAAGCAAGCACACTGTGTTTTGATAAGCCAAAACTTTAACATGCATATTTCTATTTGGCTTAAAATGTGGTAAGAAGGAAAGCCCAGGAAATCCAGTGAAAAAAGGGATAGTTTATTTCAGAATAAACTGAGCTTTGCTTCTGTATACGAACCAACTGCCATTTCATTATGTCAGTTCTACAATTAGACACATTACAAAATTAAATTCAGTCTGGTCTTGAGATTCCCAAAAGCAATTTCCACATTCAAGTTAAAAGTGCAAAATCTCACCTCCCATAGATGGCCAATGATGGGCGCGTCGGCCCAGGAGTGCTCAGCATTCATGCCCATCTTCCCGTTTTTGAAAACGATGAATGTGAATGATTTGTCAAACCACCTACATGAAACAAGTATGTTTATGGAACTTAAATTAAAAAAAACAAATTAGCAAAAACTACATGTCTTTTTCATCCCACGCAGACAGACGGGCTTTGCACTTGCCCCACCCACAACCAGCAGATGTCCCCTCGTCCATGCGGAGGGGCAGAGAAATACAAACAAGATGCTAAGATGAGCATCTGTGTTCTGGAGACTAGAGGAACGGACGTGTTGTTCTAACAAGGCAAGTGGAAAGAGAGAGCTGAGGCTCTTCCTGCAGGCACACAGCCCCCTCCTCAGTTGATATTTGCCCCTAACCTGTGGGGGGACAGGCTCCCGCCTTATAGATAAAGAAAAGGGGGCACCCAGAGGGGCTCGGCTTCTTAACAGTCACCAGCTAACATGGGGTCTAACCCCACAACTGGCCCTATCTGTCTAGCACCTGCTCCTGCCTGGTCCAGGCAGCCTGTGACTCAGGAGCATCCCAAATAAAGGTGCATAGAGAGGGAGGAATCTCAAATTCACGGCTCAAGCTCTGTGCACATGTGGAAGCTTTGGTGGGAGAAGAAGATTAAAGGCAGTGTTTCTAGGCTAGTTTATTCCTTAGCAGTGGAAGGAATTCCTGACCTGTGAAGGTAGGTGCTGGCCACACGGGGTGCTTCCTCCAAGCTCACAGCAAATGACCTTTCAGAAAACAAGGACGGTACCTGTCAAAGCACCTGCCGTGCAGGAGAGACTTGGCATAGCTGTCCATGGACGTGTCCGGGTCTTCCTTTCTGTACCCCTGTTCGGTCTCATCTAATGTCACAAAGAACGCTGCTTTTTCCACGGCGTCAAGAGACTGCTTGTTCTTGCCACGTCCGAAGTAGGCCTGGCGACACCTGGCCCAGGGTACCCTGAAGTAAAGATTGGTAGCATCTATTTTTATTTTTTAGAGACAGAGTCTCACTTTATTGCCCTCAGTAGAGTATTGTGGCGTCACAGCTCACAGCAACTTCCAACTCTTGCCTCAGTCTCCTGAGTAGCTGGGACTACGGGCACCTGCCAAAATAACTATTTTTTTGTTGCAATTTGGCCAAGGCTGGGTTCAAACCTGCCACCCTCGGTATATGGGGCTGGCACCCTACCCACTGAGCCACAGGCACTGCCCGAGATTGGTAGCATTTAAATCCGTCCACCCCTCAGTCTCCAGGCAGGGCAATGTCCCCTTGCACGTGATGTCTGAAATGACACAAGGAAGCCTCTGCAGTCTTTCAGGAAATTCTTGAAGGAAAACTACATGTTTACGATTCTCTCCACCTGGGGCTGCCTGCTATCTGGCTCCATGTGCTGGAAGGAACCTCGTCTCCGCATGGCCTTCAGACCACAGTACAGAGTGTGATTTTTTAAAAATTATTTTAAAATTTACGTATTTATTTATGTTCTTTTAGAAATGGTCTCATTCTGTCGCTCAGGCTAGAGTGCATTGCCTGATCATAGCTCACTGCAGCCTCCTGGGCGTGTGATTCTGCCATGGCTAGGACGGCAGGTGTACACAACCACACCTGGCTAATTTTTAAATTTTTTGTAGACCCCAACCTAGAACTCCTGGCATCAAGTGATCCTGCCGCCTAAGCTTCCCCACGTGCTGGGATAACAGGTCTGAGCCACCATGCCTGGCAGTGTGTGATTTCTGTTGAAGTACAACCATAGAGCCCTCCCTCCAGAACCTTCCCTATGTACTAACAGTTCTCAACCTGGGGTCGCAACCCCTTTGTAACAATGAAAATATATCTTGCACATCAGATATTTACACTACGATTCATAACAGTAGCAAAATTACAGTTATGAAGTAGCAACAAAAATAATTTTATGGTTGGGGGTCACCACAACATGACAAACTGTATTAAAGGGTTGCGGCAGTCGGAGGCATTAGGAAGGTTGAGAACCACAGTCATATACCACCTCCCGAGTCTTCTCAATTCTCAACACTATGTGCCCGTCTTTCAGAGGCGCACGGATAAGGTCATAGCCATTTTGTGGCAAGGAGGGATTCAAACCCAGGCTGTCAGCCCCCAAGTCCATGTCACAAATGACCACGTGACACTCTGTGCCAAGCTCCCGGGGCCCACCGGAGTTGGGACAGGCAGAGTGGATGCAATGCCCACTTGCTTTTTGTTGTTGTTGTTGAGACAGAGTCTCACTCTGTTGTCCTGGGTAGAGTGCCACGGTGACATAGCTCACAGCAACCTCAAACTCTCAGGATCAAGCGATCCTCTTGCCTCAGCCTCCATAGTAGTTAGGACTATCTACAGGCACCTGTCACCATGTCCGGCTGCTTTTTCTTTTGTTTAAGAGATGGGGTCTCACGCTTACTCAGGCTGGTCTCAAACTCCTGAGCTCAAGCAATTCACCCACCTTGGCCTCCCGGAGTGCTAGGATTACAGGTGTGAGGCCAACACACTTGGCCCCCCACTTGCCACTCACAGGGCAAGGCTTCTTCTAATGCTCCTGGGTCCCTCTCACTCCCCCAGGCCCCTTTGCCCAGGCCCACCCATTCAGACCAGTTCATCTGGCCTTCTTCCCACCCTCTTCTATTGCAGAGTGCTTGGCTGTGACAACCTGCAGTGCCATTGAGCCCAATGCACATCCCAGCTAGGAGGTGACAGTAAAGGCCTGTTTGTACTCAGGCCTTTGTGTAAAGGGCCGACACAGGTAAGATGCAGGCAGTCACGGAGGGGTTGAGCCTGGTTCCCTGCGCACACCTGCTCCCTCTCGGGCACTTCCCCTCAGGAGCACGCCTGCAGTGAGCTGAAGACACACTGCCCTGCTGCTGCTCCTTCTGGCTTCGTGAAGGCCACACTGGCCACTAGATAGTACTGGCTTCCTCAAACGAGCCTCCCTAACCCCACCCCCCATGAAGGCCTTTTCACAGGACATCACTGCTTTCTGGGGAGCCCCCTCCACACCCATGTCGTCCACCTACCGCTGTGGCTCTCAGCCTGAATTGGTCCTGGTAATGGCAGCTGCTGGCAGAATCACACCCAAATGCAGTCAGGCGCATACCCAGGGCCCTCCCCAGCTTGGCACTGTGGCCTGCTGCCCAGTCCACTGAGGATGCTCTTGCTCTGCTGTGGACGCCCGCTGTCCTTGTGGCGCACCCTGGCCCTCTGCACAGCAGCCAGCCACCAGCCGTCACTGCACCCCGAGTGATGCCCTTCCTGATCTTCATAGAGGGGGAGCCCTGCCTGCTCCCCAACCTCCCTTCTAACACTAGTGCAGCAGTCACACCACCGGGACACGCAGCTCCCAACAAGGGGCACTGGGTGATGCCGGAAGGCACTCTTGGCTGTCACAACTAGGCTACTGCTGGTATCCGCTGCGTAGAGGCCAGAGTGCTGCTCACCACCCTGCCCTGCATGGGACAGTGCCCCCAACAAAGAGTGATCCAGCCCAAATCATCATGGCTCCACACACAGGTGGACAAAGAAACGCTACAATATTCATACAAGCCGAGTCCTCGAGAAAACAAGTCTCTGGCTGATTCTCTCTCAATGAAACAAGGAAATTTAATGCCAACACAGAGGCCTTAACACAGAGGTTTAAATTTGTTCTATTTACAGCGGTGCCTGTAGCTCAGTGGGTAGGGCGCCAGCCATATACACCCAAACTGGCGGGTTTGAACCCGGCCCAGCCTGGGCTAGCTAAACAACAATGATGACAATTGCAACGACAAAAATAGCTGGGCACTATGGTGGGTGCCTGTTATTCCCAGCTACTTGGGAGGCTGAGGCCAGAGAATCGCTTAATGCCCAAGAGTCTGAGGTTGCTGTGAGACGCCACGGGACTCTATCAGGGGCAAGAAAGTGCAACTATCTCAAACAAACATACAAACAAAAAAATTTGTTCTATTTCCTGAATTAATAAATATGCCCACGGCCCCGGGAAAAGCCCTAGCTCTTTGCTTTCTGGTGTCATGGGCCCTGGGTCTCTCCACGTACACACACCTGTCTGCCACACACACAGATGGCCCAGGGACTCCACGTAACCTCACTACCCTGTGACACCCTGGGCCAAGAGCAGGGTCTGTCACAGACATGGCAGGACTCTGGAGTGTCAGTTAGTGTGACCACAGGTCAGGCAGGGACAGCACACAGAGAAGGCAGAGCGTGGCACCATGTGGGGGCCTCCATGTGCTTAGGGACAGGACAGATGGCAGGGGCCACACACCTGTCTCCCGCGGTGAGGGCTGCCAGTTTCGCCTCCCCAGGTTGGGGCTGGGAGGGGTCGTCCAAAATCCTCTGAATCTGCTGTTCAATCTCCCGGGGCTTCAACAGCCTCCCGTCGTGGTAGAGCCAGACCTTGAAGTAGCGGCCTCGGTGGTACACGACGATGTGCTTGCTGTCCTTGAGGTGCTGGATGGTGTCTGAGCCGGGCATGGGGAAGAGACAAAGAATCCAGAGTCACAAGTCAGGGAAACCTGAGGTGACAACACTTCAACGTTTTTATTCATTCATTCATTCATTCATTTTGGAGACAAGGTCTCACTTTGTCACCCAGGCTGGACTGCAGACTCAAACACTTGGTCAAGGGATCCCCCCACCTCTGCTTCCCAAAGCCCTGGGGTTTCAGGTATCAGCCGCCATGTATATAACCCAAACCTGCACCTGAAGCCTTTACTTTAAAGTGAGAAACAAGGTAAGAACACACACTATGACCACTTAAATTCCCCAATACCTCCAAGATCCTGACCAGGACACAAATTTTTTTAATAAAAGGAAGAAATAAAACACGAAGGGATTAGAAGAAAATTGTCAAATCTGTCATTGGAAGCTATGATTAGCCACACAGAATATCCATGAAAACCTATTGGCTATTTAAGTTATTAAGGCTACAGCTAGGGACTCAGTGCCTGTAGCTCAGGGGCTAGTGCGCCAGCCACAGACACCAGAGCTGACAGATTTGAACCCAGCCTGAGCCTGCCAAACAACAATGACAACTACAACCAAAAAATAGACAGGCATTGTGGAGGGTGACTATAGTCCCACCTACTTGGGAGGCTGAGGCAAGAGAATCACATAAGCCCAAGAATTTGAGGTTGCTGTGAGCTGTGATGCTACAGCATTCTACTGAGGGTGACATCATGAGACTCTGTCTCAAAAAAAAAGACTACAGCAAGGTATAAGCTCAGTTTATAAAAATAATTTCCATTCCTATACTCCAGGGTATGAGCTAAACTATGCCACCCTATACGTACTATAATAAAGTACATCAAGCTGGGTGTGGTGAGCACACCTGTAATGCCAGCACTCTAGGAAGATGAAGTAGGTGGATGCCTTGAGCTCAGGAGTTTGAGACCAGCCAGAGCAGGAACAAGACTCCATTTCTACTGAAAATAGAAAAACTAGCCATGCACGGTGGTTCACGCCTATAATCCTAGCACTATGGGAGGCCGAGCAGTGTGGATCGCCTGAGCTTAGGAGCTAGAGACCAGCCTGAGCAAGAGTGAGACCCCCCATCTCTAAAAATAGCCAGGCGTTGTGGCGGGCGCCTGTAGTCCCAGTTACTTGGGAGGCTGAGACAGGAGGATCACTTGAGCCCAGGAGTTGGAGGCTGCAGTGAGCTGTGATAACACCACTGTACTCTAGCCTGTGCAACAGAGACCCTGTGTCTTAAAAAAAAAAAAAGTAACAGGAATATTTAAGCAGACCTGATAAAAAATAGAAGATAGCCTTCAACAACAACAAAAAAGCTAAAATCTGGAAATAAGTCAACTTGCCAGGCCTAATAAAGATGAAGTCAACAGAAGGAATGCTCGACAACCTAAGATCTCAGGGAAGGAAGGTCAGTGCACGTCAATCTGGTCTCTGACACTTCCTCTGATGCATCCAACTCTTTTCCAAAGGGAGCCCTGTTTCACTCACCTGTCTCCTCGCCTGGGATCCGAGAGGTATTGAACATTCGTTCCCACTGAGCTGAGCACAGTGGGATTGTGGATCCTAAGAGCCGAATCTGTAATAGAAACATATTTTTACATATATTCCTCAGGGAAAAAAAAAGCAGCAAATTAAGACCCCACATCTAGGCTCGGTGCCTATGGGTCAAGTGGCTAAGGCACCAGCCACATACACCTGAGCTGGCAGGTTCGAATCTAGCCTGGGCCCGCCAAAACAACAATGACGGCTACAACCAAAAAATAGCCAGGCACTGTGGCAGGCGCCTGTAGTCCCAGCTACTTGGAAGGTGGAAGCGGGAGAGTTGCTTGAGCCCAGGAGTTGGAGGTTGCTGTGAGCTGTGATGCCATAGCACTCTACCCAGGGCAACAGCTTGAGGCTCTGTCTCAAAAAAAAAAAAAAAAAAAACCTATTCAGCTTTCTGGCTCACCACCCGTAGGTCAGCGAGTAGGGTACCAGCCAAAAAAAGAAAAAAGACCCCACATCTAAATGCTGGATTTGGCTTGGCACCCATGGCTCAGTGGTTAGGGTGCCAGCCACACACACTGGGGCTGGTGGGCTCAAACCCAGCACAGGCCTGCTAAACAACAATGACAACTACAACAACAACAAATAGCTGGGCGCTGTGGTGGGTGCCTGTAGTCCCAGCTACTTGGGAGGCTGAGGCAAGAGAATTGTTTAAGCCCAAGAGTTTGAGGTTGGCTGTGAGCTGTGATGTCACCATACTCTACAGGGGTTGATACAGTGAGACTCTGTCTTAAAAAAAAATTCTGGATTTGTTTTCTGTAAATGTTGCATGGTTTGAGTTAAATCTTTTCCAGCTGAAACACTGCCAGCGTACAACTTTCCACAACTTGTTAAGTCCTAAATAGCACATTCAAATAGATTATTTATAAACTAACACTTAAACCAAAGAGCTATTTAAGGAAAAAACATCTTATTTCGCATGTGATGCCCACCAGCAGCATTACTTTCCTTTGAAAACAAATTAGGCTTTCTTTTCAAAGGGTAAATTACCACTAAAGTACACAAATGTATCTAAGACAAATGTATCCAAGACATGCAGAACTGATGTCAAAATACTCATGCTGGGCGAAAGAAACGAGATCCCCAAAGAGGTGCATAACATGTTTCTACTCACATAAAGATGTGGAAATCCCAAACTAATGGGGCGTGACAGAGAGCAGACCAGGGGGCAGGGGAGGGATGCGAGGGAGAGAACAAGCGGAGCAGAGGGAACTCCCTGGTGCTGGGTGCGTCAGCACCCCCACCACATGATGATCTCATGGGAGTATCTCTAGAGAGCCGTCTGAAGTTACCCCATTGTGCACTTCAAACTCATACAATAGATCCATTTATCTACCATGAAGATACTTAGAACTTGTTTTTTGTTTTTTTTTTTGGAGACAGAGCCTCAAGCTGTCCCCCTGGGTAGAGTACCATGGCATCACAGCTCACAGCAACCTCCAACTCCTGGGCTCAAGCGAGTC